AACGTACTATCTTTCTGATCAGATACCTTTTTTGATATTTAAGTGTCCACTGAAACCTTTAAGAATTAAAAACTAATCCAAAAAAGAGAAACTGTTTCCCTCTCCTTTTCATATAGAGGAAAGTTGTTTGTAGTACACTGACAATTTCTTTTTTCTTATTTGGTAAGAATTGGAGTAGTAAAAGTAATGAACTATAAAAGTGGTAACATCAGTATTTTACACACAGGGCTGATATTGAGAGGGGAGGTCTGATCTGGAAAAGTATGGGAGCCGTCACTTATTACTTATCACATACAGATGGTGTTTAAAGCTACAGGTCTGGTGAGATGACCATAGGAGAAACAGAGTGGAAAAGATGGGTCTAAGACCAAGTATTGAAAGGACTCTTACCATTTAACTGCTGGGTGGAAGAGGCTAAGAGAGCGTGGTATTTCAAAAAAAGTTTGAAGAAAGAGGGAGTTGTCAACAGTATCATGAGCTGTTTCAAAGGTCCTTTGAGACAGGGACTAAAAACTGTACATTAGATTTATTAGATTTGGTAGCAGAGAAGTCCTTGGATGTCTTAAAACTTCCAGTGTTGTGGCATGGTGAAGCCAGGTTGGTGTGCACTGATGAATGTGGGGTAGTATTTCAGCACGTTTGGCTGAACATTTGGAGGTGGGGTGTGTGGTGTACAGCAAAAAGATAACTATGGTTAGAGGACAAAGAATGATCAAGTTGAGGTAGAAATTTGAGTATAAAAGGGAGAGTATCCACAGTGCAGAAATTCTCCTTTTCTCTACTCCCTGCAAAGAAAGAAATGACCATGGAAACCGGAGTTCCCTTTCATTCTTATATTTTCTGTATTCTCAGAAAAATGCTCAGCTACTCAGGTTTTCTTTCCCAAAGTTTCTCTTTTCATTCTTTTTCCATAGCTTCACCCATTAGCTCTTTATCCCTGGCCCCTCTCCTAATTTCCAGTCATGAATTTTTTAACAGCCTGGTGGAACTCTTTGTTTCATGGCTCCTCAAATTAAATCCTTCCAGTTACTGAGGGTCTACCTCTCTGTGTTTTCCATTGTTTCCTCTGTCTCTTCCTCTCTGCCCCACTCTTGTTCTCATGCCCAGTCTTTTTTTTTTTTAATTTATTTTTGGCTGCGTTGGGTCTTTGTTGCTGTGCACGGGCTTTCTCTAGTTGCGGCGAGCGAGGGCTACTCTTCGTTGCGGTGCACGGGCTTCTCATTGCGGTGGCTTCTCTTGTTGCGGATCATGGGCTCTACGCGCGTGGGCTTCAGTAGTTGTGGCCTTTAGAGTACAGGCTAAGTAGTTGTGGTGCATGGGCTTAGTTGCTCCGCAGCATGTGGGATCTTCCCATACCAGGGCTCGAACCTGTGTCCCCTGCATTGGCAGGCGGATTCTTAACTACTGCGCCACCAGCGAAGTCCCTCATGCCCCGTCTTAATCCTTGCTTTGTAGACTCAGATTCACAGTGCTACTTTTTGAAAGATTATTTCCCCAAATAAATTTAAATTAGTTTGTTGCACCTCATTTAATATGGTGTTATCCAAAAAATCATGTTGTTGTTTTTGATATTGTATTCATTATGTGAAAAACAGTAAAAAAACACAAACGCTTCATCTCTCTGAAAATGGTAGGTAGATTGAAGATTTTATTTATGTACTTTTCTATCAGTATAATTTATAATTCATAATTGTATATGTGAAATTTTCCTGGTAATAAGATTTGTATACAGTATTTTGTGTGTGTGTGTGTTTGTGTGTGTAGATAAAACGCCATACTCAACAATTTCCTTATTTCTCTGAAACTAATGTATTTATAGAAACAAAATGTATTCTACCTTGGTTTCCTGTTATTTCAGGAAATAAATATAAACCCAATTTTATTTAACTTAAATCTGTTGATTGAAATATAAAAAATAACATACTCAATTGATTTTAACTTTTGAACTATATTTAAAAGATTAATAACACTTTTTAAAATAGAGCTATTGGAACATGATAAGGAAGTTAAACTTAAATTTTATTTGGATTCATTTTTGTTTTAAAATATGTTATATATGCAGAAAAATCTTACTGTGTTTTTTGAATATAGTTGTTCATAGTATAGTGGAAACTGGTATAATTACTGCTAGATCTTCAACTTTCAGGTGGAATTCTAATAAATACAGCAAAAATATTAAGATGCCTGCCTGCTTCTGAATTATTAAAAAGACATGCACATCAGAATTTAGCCTTGGAGAAAGTAGCCTATTAAGTACACACATCTTTAGTTTTCTTTTAATAGAGATGGGAATAGAAATATCTCTCTGTGTATAATTATAGGCATTGTATTTTTTTGTGTATTATTATAGGCATTATATTTTCTTGTAATACTTGCAGGTTATATAATATTTTATGTTATTTTATAACTGAAGAGCACCAAATATCCTAGAGTGAAATCTAAGGAACTTCTGTCTACTTTAAAGTTGATTGAGTTAATAGTCAAACATTTTTGTTCTGGCTTTATTTGAATAATTGAACAGTTGAGCCGTCAATTCTCTTTTTTTTCTTTTTTGGGGGCAGCATTGGGGGAATTCATCAGTGATGTCCTACTGTACAGAACATAAACAACAGTGGACGTAAAGCCAAAGTGGGTTGCTGAGCTACACAGGCCCCTGATTACATTTTTTCCTGTTTGTACGTATTTCTAACACATTTAACTATTACTGGTTTCCATGTTTATACCAAATTCTAAGCACGAAAGAGGGATAAAAATAGACACATGGACTAAAATGAGGAGTGACAGTCTGCAGACTGATACAAAAGAAGAGGTGGGAAAGACAACCAGAAATAGTCATTGCAAAAAGTATTTCATGGCCCAGCAATTCTTCTAGGTATATACCCAAGATAAATGAAGAACACATGTCTACACAAAAACTTGTGCACAGATATTCACAGCATTATTCATAATAGCTAAAATGTAGAATAGGCCCAAATGTTCATCAGCTGATGAACAGATTTTAAAATGGGTTATATCCATACAACAGAATATTATTTGGCAATAAAAAAGAGTGATATGTACTATAACATGGATGAACCTTGAAAACGTTATGCTAAGGAAAAGAAGCCGCACACAAAGGCCACATGTTGTATGATTGCATTATTCCATTTATATGAAATATCAGAAGAGCAAATCCATAGAGATAGAAAGTCAGTAAGTAATTGCCAGGAGCTTCAGAAAAGGGGAAATGGAGAGTGACTGCTCACGGGCGTGGAGCTTCTTTTGGGATGATGGAAATGTTCTAAAATTGACTGTGGTGATAATTGTACAACTTTGTGAATATACTAAAAATCCTTGAAATATGCACTTTAAATGGGTGAGTATGTGAATAAGAGCTCAGTAAGGCTGTTTTAAAAAGTATAGAATATTGGGGTGATTACAGAATTTTTATGAAGTGTCTTATATGCCATAAGCCTGGGGCATCCTTTTTAAAGTACAATAATCATTTGATACAGTAGACAGTAGTTATGAAACTGTGCTGTAAGGGAAATTATTATGATTTATTTCTCTTAGGATCTGTTTTTAAAAGTTTGTGAGCTATCAGAATTAGTCAACATTAAAGTTCATTTTTAAGTTCTTAGTAATCTTAAAATGAGTCATTTTCCATGTATTTCATGTAGTTGAAGTTATAGCTATGTCTTTTAGCGTAAACATGGAGATTAGTTTAAAATTTGATTATTTAAAAGAGCCTAGGTAAAGTAATTTCAAAAAATAAAGAAATTACTGCATCTAACTTATTATACTGTTTCTTTTATTGCTTAAAAATCTAAGAATTTGCAGTAGGTACATTATAAAAATATGGAATATAAGAGCTGATCTAGGTTGATAGCACTTTGAAAGGCCATATAGCAATAATGCATTAAGGGAATTAAATTAGTCTACTTGGCTAACAGAAGTCAAAGAAAAAAAGGAAGTTTGGATTATTACATAGTTTTTTCTCTGTTGTAACACAGAACTTGCTGCAGCTCATTTCTATGAAAAAAATTATATTCAGAATTCAGTAGAGGGTATAACCACTGAAAATGATTTCTTAAAAAAGTATTGTTAGGAAATCTAGATCACAGTGTTCAGGATTAAATGATAATTAATTTAGTTGGCTCTTTTTCATTTAAAGACTGAATGTTTGAAATATAGCTGTACTTTGTTCCCTGCTGTTGAGATACGGGTAGAGGAAGAAATATGGGGCTAGTGTTAGGGACAGGATTCTAGATCTAGAACATTTTCTATTTCCCAACACCCTTCCACCCTTCATGATCTGTTTAAGGCACTGCCACTGGTTTGGAAGTTTGTTATGTGCCTTGTGTGTGTTGGGACTGAACAAAAGTTGAGAGCCATGGAGAGAAGGAAAGAGAGAATGTAAAGAAGAAAAACTAAGAATTATAGAATCAGACATGAAACATAAAAGCCTTAGAAGGAAACACGAGTGAAAATGCATTGTGTCAACCAGTTCATGTCTGAATCTGAGAAAAATTAGAAAGGAAAGAATGAAGAGTGCTGAGTGACTGAACTCAGGAGTGAGTAAAGGCAGGAGTTAGGGGTGAATCTTGGGATCCACGGAATCCCGCTGTCAGAGACTGTAAAGGGAAAACTGTTCACTGGTGACGAAGAGGAGTTTTATATTGTTGACACTGAAAGTCCAGATAGGGGAAGGGTGGCATCCAGGCAATATAAAGTTGTGGCTGGAGAGACAAGGTCTGAATTGACTGACCTGGTTAGCCTATACTTAGCAAATAGTATTCTTTGTGTTCTCCAGATACCACCAAAATGTAATTAAAAGTTTAAATTATTAAAATGGGTTTCATGATAATTAAAATTTTAAAACTCAAGTCCTTAGGTAAAATATTCAGAAACCCTTGATTCTTGTAAATACACTAAGTGTATTTAGTGATGTTTGTTTTTATCAGGTGATTTTAAATTTTAAATAATTCTTAAGCATAATTCACATTTCCTCTTATAACCAGGAACCTTTTGAGGATGGCTTTGCAAACGGGGAAGAAAGTACACCAACCCGAGAGGCTGTGGTCACATATACCGCGGAAAGTAAAGGAGTTGTGAAGTTTGGCTGGATCAAGGGTGTGCTAGTATGTACCTATAGACTTAATTTTAGAGTTACACATTTCTGTTTATTATACAATCTTCCTGATATCATCATTCTCGAGATAATGCTTTCTCTTTTTTAAACTGTTTTATCTGATTGTTATGGAGGACTAAATTAATAACTTGCACCTCCTTTCCTTGTGGGTATTAAATTCAGTGAAGTAAATATATTTATTAATTTAATCAAATTATATTTGATTACTTCTAAGTTATATTTTATAACCTCTTCTGAATCTCACATATTGTCACTTTTCAAAAATTAAGTATGAAGCTGTTAAATTGATGAGAGCAACACAATCAAGAAAGCTGGGCAGGTAATATAGCTGAAATATGCCTGCTTCCTTTCCTGCTACTGTATTGTCTTTTGAAGAGAAATGTATAGATGTTAACAAGCAACAGAATAAAGGAGACATAAGTGTTGAGATCACTTCAGTAGACAGGTTTAGGTGATTAAGGTTCAGATTTACTTTCTTTTTCTGTGTTTGAATAGGCACTAAGGATCTGACTGGAGTAGAGAGTCTCATTGGGACTTTGGAAGCACTAATATAGAGTTGTATTGACATTTAGGGGAGAAGTAGAGGGAAAAATACCAGTTCTAGTAGTGATTTTATTGCCTAATCAGTAGAGTGTATTTTAAGCTCTGAGTTGTATTGTTTGCCTATTCTTAGATTTTTACTATTTTGGAAGACTGTATTCTATGTACAAGCATAATAAATAAAAGTAAAAATAAATTGAGGATGCTGTCTTAGAAAGAGTAGGTTTTCGAAAGATATGTGAACAGTTGGCATTTTGTGTTGACAGATGTTACATAATACTTAAATCCGCTGTAGAAATCATGAAGTGAAGACGTTATAAAAGAATAAGTAAAAAACTGACTTGCATTGATAAGGGGGAACATAAACTCCTTTTTTTAGGGCTGAAGTCTTAAAATATTCCTTGTGCCTTTCTTGTTCTTTTGCTTCTGCTGCTTCAGATAAATGTGTGTGTATAAAGTACATACACATATACTGGTATATTACATTATACTTATACTTTAATTAGCTCACATTTAAGCTCTCAATAAAGCTCTTTAGAAAAACTGTTAAAGGGTGGGATAAGAGATTTGAAAGGACCTTCTATAGTTTAAAATGTATGTTATCCTACTATTGGCTAGTTTAGCATTTACTGTGTATTTAATTACTTTTCATCTGTGACTTGGCCTCTTTTTCTAGGTACGATGTATGTTAAACATTTGGGGAGTAATGCTCTTTATTAGATTGTCATGGATTGTGGGTCAAGCTGGAATAGGTAAGTGAAGTGACATACTGCTTGATTCATTTGAGAATGAATAGGGAAAGGGCTGTGTGCATGTGTAGTCTCTGAACCTCATAAAATTGAAGCAGTTGGAATCATTCTACATTATGTTCTCCTTTGTATCAGACTGTTGTCTTAATGTCACTTTTTTCATAATTCTGATTTGATCTAATATGAGATAAAAGTAAGATAATTTATAGGTTGTAATGTAAATTCAGTATACTTAGACTAACCAGTTCTAGATGTGGCAGGTTTAAATGAGAGTGTAAGTATTCTCAAGTCTCTTTTCTTTTTCGCTAAAGGTCTGTCAGTCCTTGTAATAATAATGGCCACTGTTGTGACAACTATCACAGGATTGTCTACTTCGGCAATAGCTACTAATGGATTTGTACGAGGAGGTAAATTCAGTCTTTTTACATCATCAGCATTGGATTACTGACACTAAATAAATTGAGATTTAAAAATATCTCTAGTTATTTTTTACCTTAAAGAAGCAACATATCAGGTTCTATATAGGCAAGAAAGTTGCTATCAAGTACTTTTTAACTAATATTTTGAATATAAAATTTTAAATTGATCCATATGCAAATATGTATGCTTCAGATTGTTCAGGGTGTTCAGTGTGTTTGGTAACAAGAATGGAGCTTCTAACTGGGTTTCTTCTCCACCAAGGCACCCCTTGTTGCCTTGTCCCAGGCTTCAGCCCTTGGATCAGTGGTGTGCACCCTGCATTTGGTCAGTATTGTACAGGTGTAACCTCATTCCTCCCCACTGAAGGAAACTTAGGCAGAGTTCTGTCCTCATGGTCTAATAGCTTGTGTGAGTTACACCTGGGACTCTGAATCCATGCCCTCAACTCTAGCTCTCTTCTCTGGGTACCCTGAGGCCTATTTTATTGGAGCCCACAAGACCTGCCTTGTGAGGTTTTATTCTTCCCAGGGAGAACACCCAGGACACCAGGAGAATGGCCTTGGGACCCTTGAGAACAAGAAGAAAAGAAATCCATTTTCCAAACAAAAACTCATCATTCAGCTGGAGTGAGGGGAAGATCCTAAGAGAAAGAAGAGAAAATGTATACCAGCTTCTGTAAATTCATCATAGCAGATCAAGTGAGAAAAGAATCTACCTGTTCCATCTGCCTCAACTATTTTGCAGATCTGTATTTGACATTATATACATGCAATTTCTGCTTTTTCTGCATTAGTAGTTGGAGAAAGAGAGAACCGGATTGAGCTTTTCATTTTTCCCCAGTCGTCTTCATATTTTTTTATACACCAGAGGATTCAGATCACTATGGCCCTGAGGGAAGCTGGTAGCTCACATCTATAGTTATGACTGTGCTGAGCATGCATCACTGCTGGCTGAAGTTTTATATGTACCTGAATCCGGGTTCAGCAAATTGGGGTCCAAGATGTGGTTATGTCCAACAATTGATCAGACAGTGCTGAGAGATTCTTGGTTTCTTGTGTAACTGGGTGCCCCATGCTTCATTTCATTCTGCTGCTATTGGGGAATGGACATAGGGGGAGAAATGGGATGGTGTGTTAGGTATTTGAGAGGATTAGCAAATCATCATAAAATTTCTCCTTTTCTTCAGCCCTTCAAATCTAGGTTGTAAGCCTCAAGGGGAGTGGGGCATGGACCCACTGTCAGCACAAACCCCATTCTGTTCTCTGTGTGAGTGCAAACTTAAGGAAAGTATAGATTTTCCTGCGTTGTGACTAAAAAGCCATTTCATGTTTCAATACTACCAGTAGTTTTCATATATTTTTATGAATACCTCAGAGACTTGTATCTAGTTTTCTGTCCTGGACACCAAGGAAGTATGAGAATATGGAGTGCATGAAGATGTGTCCCAGCAAAGTACCATATGTTGCAGTTTTGCCTGAGTTCCCTCAAAATGATAGTTCGCAGAGAGTAGCTAACTATAGAGAAAAAAAATTGGATTATACAATTTGGAATTCTTCTGTTATCATTTGTTCATAAATGACAAAGTAAATACATTTGCTGAAATAATGAAACCTATAGAAAAAGAGAAAGCCATTAATTTAAAGAAGTGACCAAATGCTTTGAAGCTTTGCTAGAAGGCATTCATTTTTCACGTAGATCAGTTAGTGATGTTAGAAAGCTGGCTAATCCTTTATAGAATAATAAATGAGCTGCATCATCTGCAGTGAAAGTTCCTGGAGATTCTTGCAATAAATGTAAATCCCTGTAGCTCCTCTCCATCTGCTTTGTAGACTTGGAGATCCCTAACAGGATTTATTTTGGTTTCTTGGAAAAACGGTATTTCCACAAGGGAGAAAGTAGATATAGGTATAAAACTGGTGAGATTACATTGTATTCTGTATTCATGGTTCTAAATTGAAAGTATCAGTATGACTCACACATTTTATCCCAAAAGTATATATTTCTTAGCTCTGTCCACAAATATCACCTGTAACAAATGACCAGCCCAGTATCAGTGAACACCCTTAGTGCCCACATTGTGTATTTCCATTCAAAGGAACCAGGGAACCTTGGAGAAAGCACTGATTCCAGATCTGGATAGGAAATGTACTAGAGAAGTCTAGACATCTTTTCACATCAAAAAGTAAAGAAGGTAACAAAGCCTACTTTGTTTCATGTCAAAAGGACCAAGGAGCCAACTTGAAGAAACTAACACTGACTTAAATTTGGCTAGAACAGCAATACTACTACTACTAGTAACTGATTTAAATGAAAACATAAAATCCCTAGGTTCACAGACATCACACACACACAAAAATGTCATTTTCACCTTTGAAGAATGCTAGAGAACTAAAACTTATTTTGAAAATTGATAAAGAATCTAGTGTGAATCAAGTTTTCTGAGTGAAAACTCCTTACCTGAACTCATTGTAAGCAAAAAATTGATAAGAGATTTATCCTTTGGGTAATTATTCTACAAAATAAGTGAAGAAGAAAAGGGAATATTCCAACTTTGTAAATGCTTTACTTAATAAGACTACCTGTGAAATATCGAATATGAATCATATCATGCCTGTAGCTTCAGGAAGAATAGAGTATTCAGGGGAGAGAGGAACTTACTAAATGACACTATAGGATGACGACAGCAAATGCCAGACTAGGAATCTCTCTGGAACAAGGAATCCTTGTTCAATAAAATTTTCCAAGGAGCAAAAAACAGAGAGAGGGAATTACGGTTTAAAACAAACTTTAAGAGACTTAATGTATAGATGCAGTTTATTTGCTCTTCTTCACAATAAGCTTTTTATCTTTTAGTAATATGGGACCAAGGGTGCCTGCATTGGATGCCCTCTAGCCCAACCACTGAGGACTTTATTTGACTTCCTTCCTTGAAAGGGCTGCATAAGAGGAGAGCAGTAGAGCTAGAGCTATCTGGAGGGTCAGGGTGCAAAGACTTAGATAGGAGAAATGGAGGGATACTATGGGAACAGAGATGTCTGGAAACCCATCTTAATTTTCTGTGGACTGAAAGTTGACTATTAAGTGCACTAACAAGAAAGTATTTTACTCAAAATGTTGCTGAGAGTTTGTGGCTGCTCTCTTTACTAATTTCTGTCTTAAGAGCCCTTTTTTAAACTTGAGTGCGTAGTTATTAATATAAAGAACTATTTTGAGGTAGTGCTTGACATTTTAATTTGTTTTATTTATCTTGACTCTTAACTGAATTATGACATGTATTTTTATATTAACACTGAATAATATTTTATTCTTGTTTTGTGAGGTATATGTACTTCCAACTCCATGTAAGTGTGTGAAATGTGTACTTTTCCTAGTGTTGTGTGATTTATGCCACAGCTATTTAATGTTACTAAATAGCCTTAACGTTGGCCTTAACAGTACATTTTAGAGATTAAACAGGTACCAATCTAGAAAAGTGTTGTTTTTTTTTAAAATTAACTGTCAACTTGTGAACAAATGTAATAGTGTCCAATTATGAAGTCTAGGATAAAAATAATATGGAAATATTCAGGGTTTCTGGGAAAAAAAGTAAAAACTTAGAAAATATAAGATTCTGAGTTTCAGTCTTGATTAGACTATAGTAATATGGGGGGGTTGCTATTTAAAGCTGCTGGTGGCAGGTTAGAGAACCATCCCCTAGGTCCTCTGCCTCTACAGAATAAAACTAGCACCAGCAACTAGCTGATGGAGTCACTGGCATACTCCCTGCCCTAGCAGACACATTCAGACGCTACAGATTATTGCACCTGGGAGCCCAGAGCTCTTTCCTGTTCTGCAAATCCTCCCAGTGTCCTTGAGATCTTGGATTTTACAGAATTTCCTTGGACCGTGTGCAACAGGTTCTGCAACTTAGATGGCGCTGGCCAGCAGCCACTGTCACTCAGGTCTGCATTTCCTAGATTTCACAGACCAGAGTCTCTTCTGTTCTCAGATAATTAACCTCTGGATATCAACTCATCTGTGAAATAGAGGACAACCACAGGCAGCCTTTTATAAGATGGAAATGTAAATTCTGCTTGTGGATTATAGTGTATTATGTGAACTGAGCAATAGAAGGGAACAGTTCTTCAACCACTTTCTGGTTTGGAGTATTAAAAACAGAGGTCAGTACACTTTCACGTAAAAGCCCAGGCTACATCAAATTTGTGATGGGCAGTTCTGAGAATCTAAAGTCAATAGAAATCTGCATAAGTGACTAAGATCAAATTTTTATATTCCTTGTATTTCAGTCAGTCAACAGATAATTGTTGAGCACTTTGTGTTAGGCACTGGGTTTGTAACAATGCAAGCCAGACAAGACCCTATTTTCTTGGAGCTTATGTTCAGATAATAGTGACAGTTATTTTTTGAGATCTAACTGCTAGGCATGGTACCATGGTCCTTGAAATACATTGTCTGATGTCATACAACATTGATTTTGCATTATGCAAAAATGAAACAACCTTTTTTTTAAACAAAATTAAATTTTATGCAAATTCTACTGGTAAACCTTTTAAAAATGTCTGCAATATGTCAGAATTACCTTCACATACTGGTATCTTTTTCTTTTCTCTGAAATAATTGACCTCCTCACTTTTGTACATAGGTAAAGCCAAACCATTGGAAGTGAGGAAAAACTAACACTTTTCACATCTTGTAAGTGACAGAAAGTACTCTCTGTATTGGTAAAAAATCAGATTATCATTGATTGTCAGATTTTTTTGTTTAGCCCATTGTATAACTTTATCAGTTCCTATCATTACCAACCAAGGAGTTGTAAATTAGATTTCAGCTCTGTAGTTCTTTCCTTTTATTGCTAAATTATTTCAAATTGTAGTTTTTCAGATCAGTGAAATGTTTGAAGAAGCTGTAAAAAGCAGGTCTATAACAGTTGGGACTTCCCTGGCGGTCCACTGGTTAGGACTCCTTACTTCCACTGGTTCGATTCCTG